GCAGAGGGATGGATACTTTTTTTTGAGTTGGAGTCTCACTCGGTCGCCCAGACTGGAGTGCAGTGGCCGCTCCTGGCCACCGCAGCCTCTACCCACTGGGCTCCGGCGATCCTTCCACCTCAGTCTTCCGAATAGCTGGAATTACAGGCACGCGCTACCACGCCCAGCTGATTTTTTGATTTATTGTAGAGATGAGGTCTCGCTGCCCAGGCGGGTCTCGAACCCGTGGGCTCAGGCAATCCACTCACCTCAGTCTCCCAAAGGCGCGGGATTACAGGATGAGCCACCGAGCCCGGCCGATACTTTCTTTTCTTTTCTTTTTTGAGTTGGAATCTCACTCCGTCACTCAGGCTGGACTGTAGTGGTATACTCATGGTCACTCCAGTGTCAACCGACCGGGCTCCGGCAATCCTTCCGCCTCAGCCTTCCAAGTAGCCAGAACTACAGGTGCATGCTACCATGCTGTCCTAATTTTTTTGATTCATTGTAGAGATGAGATCTCACCAAGTTTCCCAGGCTGTTCTTGAACCCACAGGCTCAGGCAATCCCCTCACCCTGGCCTCCCAAAGTACTAGGAATACATGCTTGAGCCACTGCACCCGGCGATACTTTCAAGACAAAATATTTTCCAAATGATAGAAAAATCAGCAATTTGTCAATGACTAGTTCTTCAATACTCAGATGCTTTATCTCCAGTGGTTTACCTTCACAGCTGGGAGGCAGATGAGAGACGACATTTTGTTTCCATTTCTTTTTGTCCAGAATAATTATAGGTGGTAAACTTAATCTATCTTTAGTCGAGATTTCCTTTTCTGCTAGTGCAAATAACATCCAATGATCAATTTTTACATATCTGTACTGGTGACTTTCTCTTAACATTTACACAACATGACATAGGGCATGTTCATTTGTACAATTTATCTGTCCATTTCTTAGGTCACTTCCCTAAAAGTCAGGCTTGTTAAGAGACAGTTTACATTCAGTCAAATTCCCCTGTCAAAGGCTTCTAGTCTAGTTCTGTGAGCTTTGGTGAACATTTATAGTCGTGTAATCACTACCACACTTAAGATAGACTATTTTTAGCACTCTAAAATATTCCCTCATACCCCTTTGTAGTCAACCTCCCTTCCCCACCTATAGCTCCTGGTATCACCTGATCTGATCTGATTTTGTGTTTTTTTTTTTTTTTAATTCGAAGTCTCTGTTGCCTAGGCTAGAGTGCAGTGGCATGCTCACTGAGGCTATCCACTGGGCTCAATACCACTGGGCTCAGGCGATCCTTCTGCCTCAGCCTTCTAAGTAGGTGGAACTACAGGCATGCGCCACCATGTCCAGCTAATTTTTAAATTTATTGTAGAGACGAGATCTTGCCAAGTTGCCTAGGCTGGTTTTGAACCCCTGGGCTCAGGCAATCCTCTTGCTTCTGCTTCTCAAAGTGCTGGGATTATAGGCATGAGACACTGCACCTGGACTGATTTCTGTTTTCAGGGCAGTTTTCAATTCATTTCTTTCTTTCCCTCCCTCCCCCTTCTTCCTTCCTTCCTTCCTCTCTCCCTCCCTCCCTCCCTCCTTTTCTCTCTCCTTTTCTCTCTTTCTTTCTTTCTTTCTTTCTTTCTTTCTTTCTTTCTTTCTTTCTTTCTTTCTCTCTCTCTTTCTTTCTTTCTTTCGTCTCACTATGTTGCCCAGGCTGATCTTGAACTCCTAGCCTCAAGTAATCCTCCTCCTTCCTCAGCCTCCCAAAGTGCTGGGATTGCAAGTGTGAACCACTGTGCCCAGCCTTTTCTTTTTCCTTTTTTCCCATTTTTCAATTCCTATTCTGTGGTCTCATAATTCATCCTGAGGTAAGCCTCTCTACCAGATGTGATTCTGGTTTGTATCCCTACAGTGCCCAATGTAGCACCTGGCATCTAAAAGGTGTGCAGTAAACAGGTGCTGATGAAATGAATGAGTCTTTCCTTTTTCAAGATTCTGCTAAGTTCTACTGAAGACTCTCTGATGTCCAGGATGCGCCATTGGAAAAGGGGCTATTCATGTTGGAAAAAGCCTTCTTGTAGAGTCTTATTATGCAGTCTTTACAAAAATGGGCTACAGCGTCAGAGAGCTTGCTGGGGTTTCAAACATTTCCTCAAGTAAGACTTGAGGCTTACAGCTTTGCTTGCTCACCTAGCAGGTGGGCCTCCACCCTCTCTCCACCTGAACAAACAGATAAAAGGAAACAACCCCTGGGAACACGTGCAGCTGTTTCTCTCTACTCCCACCTCTCTGATCCTTCCACCCCCACGTGGCAGGGCTCCAGCTGGTCCAGAGCTTCCATGAACAAGTTCTGTGAGATTCCAGACCAGATTTGTGAACAACTCCAGGGTGGACTCTGCATCTGCCCAGATGCGGAGGTGTGGACCTGTGAAAACCCACCTGCGGATGCTCTTATCTCTCTTGATGTGAATCAGAAAGTGGATATTCCCAGAGTGGTTCAAGGAGGCTCTTGCCTGGCTAGTTCTATGAAATGGCCTATCCTCAAAGAAAAATTGCCCTTTCTAAAAAAACAAACAGCCCCGTTAAAAAATGGGCAAAAGACATGAATAGACACTTCTCAATAGAAGATATATGGACAGCCAACAGACACATGAAAAAGTGCTCAGCCTCACTCATCATCAGAGAAATGCAAATCAAAACCACACTGAGATACCACCTAACCCCAGTAAGACTGGCCATCATTAGTAAAACAAACAACAACAGATGCTGCTGAGGAAGGTGGAGAAAAAGGAATGCTTCTACATTGCTGGTGGGAATGCAAACTAGTTCAACTTCTATGGAAGACAGTGTGGCTATTTCTAAAAGAACTACACACTGACCTTCCATAGGACCCAGCAATCCCCCTACTGGGAATATACCCAGAGGAACACAAGTCATTCTACAAAAAAGATACCTGCACACGCATGTTTATTGCAGCACTATTCACAATAGCAGAAACATGGAAACAACTATGCTGCCCATTGAAATTGGACTGGATAAAAAACGTGGTACATATACATGATGGCATATTATGCAACCATAGAGAAGGAAAAACATATGGACTTTGCAGCAACTTGGATGGATTTAGAGTCAATAATACTCAGTGACCAATCACAGAAACAAAGAACAGAGAACCATATGTTCTCACTCATAAGTGGACCCTCAACAATCTACTATTTCTATAATACTATAAGAAAGGGATGGCAGTAGTGGGATACTGCTGGGGGAGGGGGTGGGGGGTGCGGGAACACAACGTCAATAAGGGTACCTGATCTTAAACTGGACAAAGAGGAGACGAAAGGGAGGCCTAAACTTTACCTGTAAGATGTCCACTTGTATGTCTAATCCTGAATTGTACCCCACATCTTTAAAATAAAATATATATTAAAAAAAAAGAAAATGGCTTTTTCTTGAAATGTGTGGGTGTTTTCCTCCAGACTGACCTCCTATCCCCAAGCAGATGGGTCCCCATGCGCATTCTGGGGTGCCCTTTCCCTCGCTGGCAAGTTCAAACAGCACAACCTCTCCCCCTCCCCTCCTAGGATGGTACTCCTTGCGTCCAGGATGAAGCTTTGATGCTGGTGTTCAAACAAAGCCTCGCTCCCCTTCGCCCTCCTTTACCCTCTCACTTGGGTGTTGGCAGGCAGTTCCCGCTCCTCAGAGACAGCTGCACAACTACACCCGGACCAGGGGCCAAATGTTTCAAGGTGTGGTCTCCTTGGTACAACGGTGGGGTTCTGTTACATGCTGCTGAATACACAAAACACCAAACAGATTGGAATTTTTGGATACACTGGAATAATTGTGTAGTTCATAATGCCACACGAACAGACAAACCATTACTCAAAGGGATCCAAGGAAGTTCTTGCTACAGTTCTTTCTACAACATGACTCTGTGAGTGTGTGTGTGTGTGTGTGTGTGTGGTGGGCGGGTG